CCGCTGATTGGGAAGTATATGAATGAATAAACATTTGGATTTGGTACAGTGACACTAAGGAATTCCTCACCTAGTTCCTGTCATGTGTCAGACATGTACAGTGCAGTGAGGACAGGAAGCCAGAGGGTGACACTAGGTGTATGTTTATGAGTGCATGGGTGGATAAAGGAGGTGGCAGCACTCTTTCCTCATCCTCGGGACATGGCTCTGCCCCATCTCCTCCATCATCTTCCTGTGGCTGATCATCACTGCCTGTCCAATCACCATGTCCAGGTTGCCACCTAAACTAGTGAAGCTGGTTAAGGAGGCCTCCATTCCTCCCCCCACCTCTTCTTTTTACAGTGGAAGTTCTGACAATTCCAATACTCTAATGTCATCTCTGCAATGCTACTGCTTATACAATGGCTGCGCCCGGCCCAGGAGGAGTCCTTTGACGATTTCTGTCTGGGCAGTCTTTTTGATGCAAGTCTTTTTTATACTCTTCTTTTGGAGAAATCTGCACCCAAGACAACTGTCCCTGTAGCCCTGCCCAAAATACACCACCACCCTCTGTATATTTTACAAAGGGACTATATTTGGATCTCCTATTATACAAGTTGCAATTATTGGAATAGGGGTAAAATAAAACTTACAAATGCCTAATATTTAACTTTGACTTTTTTGTTTAGCATATCAACACTAGGGATTCGTACCAAATAAGTCAGCCTGCAATCAAAATCTTCCTGATCTTCACCTACTGTATTTTTTTTCCCTTTATTTGTAAGAAGATATTGTTGAAAAGAAGCCAACCGTAACCTAGTAAATTTTAGAAGTATTGGCCTTTTCAATAAGGACAGTGGGAAATGTTGCATAACAACAAACTTCAATGGATAGTCTCTGCCTGATCTTCTTTTCTGACATAATAAACTAGGAAACTGGTTTGGCAGCATAACAATGTTATTTATTGTCCTGTTCACAAACTGCCATGTGTTGTCCAAGCCAAAGGGACAATATTAATATAGTGCCAGTTTTCTCTATTTGCGCTACAGATATTTTAGATGAGCATTTGATTGCTTTTCCTTATATTTTCTATCTAGTTCATAATTATACTGTATGATTTTTGAGAAGTGTCTTATTACCACTGGAGTTCTTTAGTATCAGGAATTTTATTGCATTTATATAGTACTCCATTCTTTCAAAATAATTATAAACAGAAAAAGTGCACAAGGAATTCAATATGAAAAGAACATAAGGGAAATTGATATACTGTACATATAGAAGGCTAAATAATGATAATTATGGTGATTTAATATTGGTGATGGTTTAATATTTCTATCTGAGTGTACAGTTAAAGATGAACAAATAATAAAAAATTATCTCCACAGGTTATTTGCAGGTTTTACACTCAGAAATGCACTTCCCTAGTAAAACCTAAAATGGGATATATGAAAATTCAGTTATTAAATGGGTGGCTAAGTTAATCAGCACATGTGAGCTGTTGCAGCTGCAAAGACCTCTGTGGATACAGCTCCCTTTTACAGTGATATCCACATGTGTATAATTTATTTTTCATTGACTGGATTCTCCTGAAGGCCAAGCTAGAAGGACATGATAAAACTGGGTAAAGGCAGTGCCCAGGGACTACAAACCTGGACCAATACTCCCACCCACCATTTTACTTACCTGCTACACCAGACTTCAATCTGTCCTCTTCCCCCACTCCCTGCCTCCCCTACACTTCCACACAGTTCCACCAGCCTGAAGGTGAACAGCAGTATAATGGTGAGGGTTTGGATGTTTCACACACTACCAAGCTTTAAACTACCACTGCGTCTACCAGCAAGATGGCCATTGCTGCCCATGTGACATCTGATTGCCATCTAGCCCCACCACTATTAGTCCTCTGTAATCTGCGTCTTCTGAGAATTCTTTTTTAGTGACATTATGCTTACTGTTCAATTATGTCACACATCTGTTAATGTGATAAACATCAATATTGAAGGGGTAATGTCTGACATATCTCGTTTGCACCACAACATGTACAGTATGCACAACCTTACCTCTGAGGTCAAGGTTAGAGTTTAATCCCTGGGGAAAAAATTGCAACCAGTCCTACAGGACTCTTAGTGCTTAAACAGTTGTCCACTACATGCATACATAAGATGAACCATCTCAAGAATCACCTGAAATGCAACCATGTATCGGTGATAGGTGTTAAGGAATGTGTGGAGGATGGTGACACTACAATCTTTGAGAAATGGTTGCTGGAGGTGTTTGGTCAAGATGCTTCTTCTTCCATGTTTACAGTGGAGCCTGCACACAGGACACTCTCCTTAGGTCTTTGTCACTAGGTGTATGTTGTTATTGTTGTACTCTTTGTCACTATCTTTGTAACCCAAGTTTTGTACCCCTCCAACTGTCTGTCCCCTTTGACATTACCGCTGAAGTAAACTTTTTTTCAGCCTATATCAGGGTTCAACAAGTTATCGATCGTGATCTACCAGTTGACAGCGGGCGACGACCGATAGATTGTGAACGTGGCTCTGCTTCCCCTCAGACTCCACTGCTCTAATCTTCCATGCAGAGTGGAGAGTGGGAGGCAGCATTGTACTGGATAGAGGGTGTGAGGGGGTGCTGCCTCAATTAGCCTTTTGAATCAACTAGCAGGTGATTGGTTGCTAGGACACTGGGCAGTCCTAGCAACCAATTACTAGCTTGTTATTATGAAAAGTTAACTCTGGCAGCTCCCACTTCCACCCTCCATCCAGCACTGTGCTGTCTCCTGCTCTCCACTCTTCTGTACACATGCTGACAGCTAGAAGAGTTCTACCTACACAGCACTGTGTGTCTATGTGTTGGGGGGGAGATGATGTGAAGGGGACAGAGGACAAGGGGTCAGAGGACAATGTTTTGTGGGATGGGGGGAGAGAAGACATTTTGGGGGGGCATAAAACACTGCTATGGGGGCATATGGCACTACAGTGGGGGGGGGGGGGGGGGGGTGATGTGAAGGGGGACAGAGGACACTTCTTTTGGTGGGTACAGGACACTATTGTGGGGGAAGGGGGCAGAGGACACTACTGTGGGGGTGATGTGAAGGGGGCAGATAACACTGCTATGAGGTGGCAGAAGGGCAGAGGACACTACTATGGTGGGAGGATGGGGGATGTGAGGGGAGGCAAAGGATACTACTGTGGGGGAGGGGTGATGTAAGGGGGGCAAAGGTCACTACTGTTACACACTGTAGGGCTTATTTACTAAAACGGGAGAGTGCAAAATCTGCTGCAGCTTTATGTTGTAGTCAATCAGCTAATATTAATCATTGACAGAAACCCTGGAAGCTGATTGCTTTCTAAGCACAGCTGCACTAGATTTTGCACTCTTCAGTTTTAGTAAATCTACTGCTATGTGTTCTTCATGCTGTCTTTTTTTTGGAGTTTGTTTTTTTTTTGGGGGGGGTTTTGGTTTCTTTTTAAAGGGCAACACCCAGCCACAGCCCCCCCTCCCTGAGATGTTTGATTTCCTCCATGTTGTCCAGGTAGAGCTCAACCTCCGAAAGGTTGCCTACCTCTGCTGCAGACTGTTCCAGTCTATTCCTACTTATGCTGAAACTGCTTCATGGTCCCCAGTCATGAACCTATAGACTGTTCCAGTCTACCTTCTGCTTGTGCTAAAGCTGCTTTATGGTCCACTGCTGTGTGCCAGTATACTATTTTAACTTAAAAAAGCCAATCCCCACCATGCGTTGATCTGTGTTTTAGCGCAGCTGTAAAACGCAGATCAACAGAAGGACATCTGAAAAAAAATTATTTCCAATTTATTCTATTCGCACCATAATGCTGCGTTGACATGCGTTGCACTGAAATGCATTTTAGCGCAGCACAACGGATGTAAGCGGATGAAAGCAGATGTCAACGCAATGCACAGGATATCCTGTGAAAATGCATGTCAACAGATGTCAAAATGTACAGTCAGGTCCATAAATATTGGGACATGGACACAATTCTAACATTTTTGGCTCTATACACCACCACAATGGATTTGAAATGAAATGAACAAGATGTGCTTTAACTGTAGACTGTCAGCTTTAATTTGAGGGTATTTACATCCAAATCAGGTGAACGATGTAGGAATTACAACAGTTTGCATATGTGCCTCCCACTTCTTAAGGGACCAAAAGTAATGGGACAGAATAATAATCATAAATCAAACTTTCACTTTTTAATACTTGGTTGCAAATTCTTTGCAGTCAATTACAGCCTGAAGTCTGGAATGCATAGACATCACCAGATGCTGGGTTTCATCCCTGGTGATGCTCTGCCAGGCCTCTACTGCAACTGTCTTCAGTTCCTGCTTGTTCTTGGGGCATTTTCCCTTCAGTTTTGTCTTCAGCAAGTGAAATGCATGCTCAATCGGATTCAGGTCAGGTGATTGACTTGGCCATTGCATAACATTCCACTTCTTTCCCTTAAAAAACTCTTTGGTTGCTTTTGCAGTCTGCTTTGGGTCATTGTCCATCTGCACTGTGAAGCGGCGTCCAATGAGTTCTGAAGCATTTGGCTGAATATGAGCAGATAATATTGCCCGAAACACTTCAGAATTCATCCTGCTGCTTTTGTCAGCAGTCACATCATCAATAAATACAAGAGAACCAGTTCCATTGGCAGCCATACATGCCCAAAGCCATGACACTACCACCACCATGCTTCACTGATGAGGTGGTATGCTTAGGATCATGAGCAGTTCCTTTCCTTCTCCATACTCTTCTCTTCCCATCACTCTGTGTCAGGAATGGACTGGCCAGCTATGGTGGGACTCACCTGCCTTTTGATCTGCAGTACCAGGGCTGGCCAGCGGGTGTTCCCAGCAATCAGAGACTCAACTTTGCAGCCAGCTAACACCTGTAACTGATTATGCTGGGGTATTTAAGGGATGGCCAGACCCACAGACTCTGCCTTGGTGTGTGTTTGTCCTGGGCCCTGCATCCTGTTTCTGTCCTGCATCCTGTTTCTGTCCTGCATCCTGTTTCTGAACCGCTGCTGACTTCTCCTGCTCTGATCCCGGCTCGCTCCTGACCATCCCTCTGTCTGACCCTCTGTACCACGCTGCTTGCTACCTGTTCTGATCCCTGGCTTGTGACCCTGACCAATCTCCGCTTGCTCCCCCTGTACCTACCTGCCCTATTGATATTGACCCGGCCTGCCTGACGACGCTTGCTTGTATGTACTGTTATCTGTGGGTGGTTTGGTTTGGTTTGTTTGCACTGTATTATGTTTTAGTATTGCACTGCGTTTATGTTTGTATTGTTAGTGTTAATAAATTATATTGTTTATAACATATCTGAGGTCTGCGTTTCCCTGCGTCAGTCACACATCTCTGGTCACACCTGGGAGCCCGATGTGCCTCTGCCTGGGGTCCTGCCCGATGTGCCTCTGCCCGGGGTCCTGCCCGATGTGCCTCTGCCCAGAGTCCTGCCCGATGTGCCTCTGCCCGGAGTCCTGCCCGATGTGCCTCTGCCCGGAGTCCAGCCCGATGTGCCTCTGCCCGGAGTCCGGCCCGATGTGCCTCTGCCCGGAGTCCAGCCCGATGTGCCTCTGCCCGATGTGCCTCTGCCCGGAGTCCAGCCCGATGTGCCTCTGCCCGGAGTCCAGCCCGGTGTGCCTCTGCCTGGTGAGCCTCTGCCCGGTGTGCCTCTGCCCGGAGTCCAGCCCGGTGTGCCTCTGCCCGGAGTCCAGCCCGATGTGCCTCTGCCCGGAGTCCAGCCCGATGTGCCTCTGCCCGGAGTCCAGCCCGATGTGCCTCTGCCCGGAGTCCAGCCCGATGTGCCTCTGCCCGGAGTCCAGCCCGATGTGCCTCTGCCCGGTGTACCGCTGCCCGGAGTCCTGCCCGGTGTGCCAGTCTTTGATATCCCGCCAGTTACCAGACCCGGGCGGTGGAACATTTTTCCCAGCTAGGACTGTTTGGAGCGTCCTGAGGCCGCTCCTTGAGGGGGGGGTACTGTCAGGAATGGACTGGCCAGCTATGGTGGGACTCACCTGCCTTTTGATCTGCAGTACCAGAGCTGGCCAGCGGGTGTTCCCAGCAATCAGAGACTCAACTTTGCAGCCAGCTAACACCTGTAACTGATTATGCTGGGGTATTTAAGGGATGGCCAGACCCACAGACTCTGCCTTGGTGTGTGTTTGTCCTGGGCCCTGTATCCTGTTTCTGTCCTGCATCCTGTTTCTGTCCTGCATCCTGTTTCTGAACCGCTGCTGACTTCTCCTGCTCTGATCCCGGCTCGCTCCTGACCATCCCTCTGTCTGACCCTCTGTACCACGCTGCTTGCTACCTGTTCTGATCCCTGGCTTGTGACCCTGACCAATCTCCGCTTGCTCCCCCTGTACCTACCTGCCCTATTGATATTGACCCGGCCTGCCTGACGACGCTTGCTTGTATGTACTGTTATCTGTGGGTGGTTTGGTTTGGTTTGTTTGCACTGTATTATGTTTTAGTATTGCACTGCGTTTATGTTTGTATTGTTAGTGTTAATAAATTATATTGTTTATAACATATCTGAGGTCTGCGTTTCCCTGTGTCAGTCACACATCTCTGGTCACACCTGGGAGCCCTGACACTCTGGTACAAGTTGATGTTGGTCTCATCTGTCCCTAGGATGTTGTTCCAGCACTGTGAAGGCTTTTTTTAGATGTCGTTTGGCAAACTCTAATCTGGCCTTTTGAGGCTCACCAATGGTTTACATCTTGTGGTGAACCCTCTGTATTCACTCTGGTGAAGTCTTCTCTTGATTGTTGACTTTGACACACATACACCTACCTCCTGTGTTCTTGATCTGGCCAACTGTTGTGAAGGGTGTTTTTTTCACCCGGGAAAGAATTCTCCGGTCATCCACCACAGTTGTTTTCCGTGGTCTTCCGGGTCTTTTGGTGTTGCTGAGCTCACCGGTGCGTTCCTTCTTTTTAAGAATGTTCCAAACAGTTGTTTTGTCCACGCCTAATGTTTTTGCTATCTCTCTGATGGGTTTGTTTTGTTTTTTCAGCCTAATGATGGCTTGCTTCACTGATAGTGACAGCTCTTTGGACCTCATCTTGAGAGTTGACAGCAACAGATTCCAAATGCAAATAGCACACTTGAAATGAACTCTGGACCTTTTATCTGCTCATTGTAATTGGGATAATGAGGGAATAACACACACCTGGCCATGGAATAGCTGAAAAGCCAATTGTCCCATTACTTTTGGTCCCTTAAGAAGTGTGAGGCACATATGCAAACTGTTGTAATTCCTACACCGTTCACCTGATTTGGATGTAAATACCCTCAAGTTCAAGGTGACAGTCTGCAGTTAAAGCACATCTTGTTTGTTTCATTTCAAATCCATTGTGGTGGTGTATAGAGCCAAAAATGTTAGAATTGTGTCGATGTCCCAATATTTATGGACCTGACTGTATGTCAACGGATGTCAGCACACAACTAAAATGGATGGAAATGTACATCCACTTCCCATACATTTTAGTGCATGTCAGTGTGAATTGACCTAAACTGTTAGACAGGGCCAATTTGGTTGTTTTGCAGGAGGGCTGGTAACTATGCTGGGAAATTATTTGTTTCTGATGTGCATTGCCCTTCCATTGCCCTTGCTGCAAAAGCCAGTTATAAGTTGGGGTGGTTGCCACTTTTTGCATAGTTGGACAAATTCTGTGCAGTGATTCACTGGATACTTTCACTGCAACTTACTCTTGCTGAGCATCACATGCGTCCCTGTGCTTTTAAAAAGGGGTGGGCTCCCCCCAGGCATACCTGCCCTTAATCTATCCATTTGTGTATGTGCTCCTACTAAGGAGGCTCTGGAAATATAGAGCTAGGACATCAGTATACACAGAGGTCCAACATGTTACAAAATCAATTAGCGCAACCAATGTGATAAACTATATTTCTCTATTACAAAGAAACGTTGTCAGCTGGCACTAATTAAGTGAATTCACAGCACTCAATAATATCACAAAAACAAAAACAGTGCAGCACAACAAAAACAACTTCAGTGATTAAATAATAAAATAACTAACTCTTAATATAGATATTATCCAATAACTGAATGTTAACGTGTATGCCAAAAATGGCAATCATGTGTAGTCCAAAACAGAAAACTGTACAGTCTAATCAGTAAATCAGTCACCACAGTGTTGCTGTAATCCAAATAATAATGTACTCTGTGTCTCCACCACTCATATATGTGAGCTGCTCACATCAGCGCAATGACCCCTGCATTACCAGTAAGGTCAAAGCAAGCAGTGTTCCCCTCAGGGACAAGAACTCTGACAGCCACTTTACAGATCCTTACTCCTCGGGGTAAGATCCACTGGTCCTCAAAGACTCAGGTACGCTGGATATATGGGAGGAAGAGGAAAGTTGTCAGGGAAGAAGAATGTCGCAGCTGCGCACATCTGCGCACATCTGTGCACATCTGTGCACCAACGCCAGGTCCCCGATGGCCGTGCCAGTTCGCATGCGTACACGGTTGCGCGCACCCGTGCACGCGCTGACGTGCACAGACAGGCTATTTAAACCCCTGCTACACACAGAATAGTGCCTTCTGGCCTACTTCATCCTATATCCTGATTCCTGTGATCCACTTGCTTTACTCTGACTATGACTGAACTCTGCCTGCACCTTTGACTATCCGCTTGACTACTCCTCTGTACCTGATCCATCCGATTGATCCTGACCCGGCCTGCCTGACTATTCTACCTCTTCTGCCTGTGACTACCCCTGGCTACCAGCCGCCACGGTCATCCGCATCTCAGTTACACCTCTCTGCTGCTGCACCTGCTCACCTGCATAATGCTACCTGCATCCTGGTCTTCCAGGTCTTCACCTGCCAGCTATCAACGCAGACCTGTCAGGCACTCGGGCCCCTCCTAGATCATTAGCTCCTGTCTACCCTACCAGGGGTCCCGAACATGAGTGGTAAGAGGATGAGCCCTCTCCACATCAGGCACGTTACAGAAGCACACAAGATCTAATGCTCTCCATTTAAAAATACTTTAATGATAAAACATCAATATTGCACATACATATTCCAACACTACTGCCAGTGCTAGTTAGAGTGCACGTGTCAAACACCATTGCCGGTATACAGATTACTCATAAAATGGCCACGGGATGATGTCACTCCCAGGCCCCCCCCCCCCCCATACATGTTACGTATTTTTAAATGGAGAGCATTAGATCTTGTGTGCTTAACAAAAAGACAAATCCCTAGACTGCACATTTGAGACACAGTTATTGAACTGTTGCTGTGTGCCTGGCTGTTTTTGCTCTGGGAAAGAACCAGTGCAACCTAGTGTCTCCTATGGGGGTAGAGCTACATTCCCTACTTAAAAAAAACATATCAGAATGGTTTGCCTTACCCTTTTGTCTCTTCTTTGGGGAAGATGGTTTTGTATTATTCAGTTTTGACATATATTTTTTGGATGTGACAGCAAACTTTATTTTGCTGAGGTTGTATCCCTGAGAATTAATACCAACTAATAAAAAGGAATAAAAAAAATTTAGCTCTTAGTTTAACACTCAAACTGCATCAGATCATGGAATTAGACAGAAAATTATACACTCTGGAAGAATAAAGATAACGATGCTTTAGTGTGCTGCAATTTTTTTCATGATAAAAGGATTTGTATGTTTCTTTTAAGTCGTATGTCCTTTAAGCCTTTCAAGTCAGTGCTAAACTTCACAGTAAGGGCAGCTCTTAGCTTTTACATGCTTTCATAGCAGCAATCATTCTTGCTAGTGTTTTGGAACAGAGTCAGATAGTTTGAACTGGGTGCTGACCTGTTGGCTCAAAATTCTTCAGAGTGGAGTAAAGCAGAGAGGTACTGAACAGCAAATGCACTTCATTTGAAATGATTTTGCACCAAGTATAAAAACAGCATTTCCAATGTCGGAGAAGAATGGAACACCATTTAGACTACTTTGAGACATTTTTCTACCCAACTTATGTTTTTGATCTTATACATCATTCTGCAGAAACTGACAGTCTATCTGTCTTTTCTGAAATTCTTCACTGCAAATTGCTAGTTATGGTCTGTTGTGGAGAAAGGAAGTTATTCAATCTAAAACCGTAAAAAGTTGTGGAAATGCACCAAAAATGTATAGAAACATCAAATACATACACTCATTAGCAGTGTCAATCATTTTTCTCAGTACAAAATACATAGTGTGGACTCACATTTTCTTGTTAGAATTGCTGAAATATTTATATAAGAAAGGACATAGCTGTCTT